TGCCTTTTCTGAGCGACCTAGTCTGGCCTAGTGGATGGGAGCAGGAATCATGCCTACTGGTCAGAGCAGGAGTCAGGGGGCTCAGAGCCAGACACCGTAAGTCCAGTGAAAGCTCAGCCCCGGAGCCAGGACCGGAGCCAGAGGGAGGGATGAGGAGCCGTGCCCGGAGCAGTGCCAAAGCTTGTGGGAAGAGCAGGCCAGCCGCTGCCAGGGTGCGCAGACCGGTCCCTGGGCCCTCTCGTGCTTCAGGAGATGCCTGGGCCAATCGGAGTCGATGGGTCTTCCCTGGGCAGGATTTCCTGGGGCGCCTGGCGCACGGCTCTGGCTGGCATTGTGGCCCCGAGCTAGCCCTGGGGAAAGGCCCCATCAGACAGCTCCCAGCCTGCTGGATTAGGAAGGCGCCTGCTGGGCCGGGCTGGGCAGGCCCGTGGGCAGGGGGGCAGCGCCCAGGACAGCAGCGGGGCCAGGGCGTCGCTCAGCCCCGGAGGAAAACGCTCTCTGCTGATTCACCCCCACAAGGCTGCAGGGGCGCCCGGCGCGGCGCGGCGCCTTCTTCTCAGGGCCAAGAAAAGCAGCGGCAGCCTGTACTCAGGCCCCTGGCTGCTGCCGCCGGCTCCGCTCCCGGGAGGTGCAGGGGAGGGTCAGGCTGAGGGGACGTCTGTGGCGGCGCGTCGGGGCCCCCACCCTGCACCCCGTAGCAGCGAGAGGAGACTCCGCAGCCAGTGGAACGGGGGGTTGGTGCTTCCCCGGGTACAGCCCAGCGCAGACGGGATGTGGCCATAGGGCGTCGGGCTGGCAGCTCTAGAGCCCTGGGGGCAGGGTGCCCAGGCCCCTCAATTCCCAGCGCTCTGCTCAGCCTGCTCTCTCCATGTCATCCCAGCCAAGAATGCCCAGCTCCCAGGCCTGCCCCCAGCCAGGTGGCTGCTCCGCCGCCCTCCCTTTGTCTCTCCCCTGGCAAGAGCCTTGTTCCCTGCCCAGGCTGGGCCAGTGGGAATCGCCCATCACAGCGCAGGGGCCCCGGGTCACAGAGCAGACCCCCCCGCCGCGCCCCACACACCTCACCGCGCAGGGGCCCCGGGTCACAGAGCAGACCCCCCCCCACCGCGCCCCGCACAGCACACCGCCCAGGGGCGCCGG